AACAAACAAACAAGGGAACTGATTCTTCTAAAGCCTCCTGAAAGGAAAGCATTCATGCCAACACCTTGATTGTAGTGCAATGAGACTCATTCCAGACTTCAGATCTCCAGAACCATAAGATGATAAGGTTGGGTTGTTTAAGTCTACAAGTTTGTAATAATTTCTTACGGCAGCAATGAGAGACTAATATAACATGTAAAATGAAAATAAAAGGATAGAATCACACTATTATTTTCTATGTAGTAACATTAGGATCAATGAATGGGTCACATCTAAAGACTACAGTTTCAGGAAAAATACTGTAACTCTCATAAATTCTGCCATATGTTCACATTTGAGACACATCTAGCTTGTTTAAAAGAGAATGTGAAATGTCAATCCAATCCTCAGTTTCTCCTTTTAAATAACACAACTACTTTGGCAGCTCAAAAGTAATTAATTTCACCAACTTCCAACTATTTTCTCTGAGGAGGATAACTGAACCTCAAATTCTCTATCAATGTTTTGAACAAGGTTTGGAGCTTAAAGAGAAGTATAGTTGTTCAAATACTTAGTTCCTTTTCCACTTATACTAAAAAATTGTGTCTCATGGTAGTGGATTCTTTACAACTAAGTTAAATGATTTCTTCTACCAATATTTAATCAAGACTGAGCTGTAAAAGATAGGTACCAGCACTTAATCCTTTATCTATTTTTTTTTACCTTTTTATTGTGATTTGGGTGAAATGTTTAAAGCAGATGCACTTTACATTCAACAAATTTAATTCTTAAAATTTAGTAGGCATTTATGAAATACCACTGCTACTAACTTTGTTGTTTTTGTTGTTGTTATGTGCTGTCGAGTTGGCCCCACTCATAGTGACCCCTCCTTGGGTTTCTGAGGTGGAATCACTACAGAAGTAGATTGCTCAACCTTCCTTCCAAGGAGTGACTGGTGGGTTTGAACTGCCAGCCTTCTGGTTAGCAGTCAAGAGCCTTAGGCACTATGCTACCAGAGCTCCTGATACTAAGTTTAGAATGCACCAAATTACCTGGAAATTATTCAGCAACATAGGTCACTTCAGAATTTTGATTTATACAAAGTTTTATAACACATTCAGTATAGAATTAATAAAACTATTTAAACATAAAACAACCATTTTTATTTAAAATAGCATAGAGATATTATGGTAATAGGTGATTTTTCTCAGTATTAATACTGTTTTAAATTTCTAATTATTTGAATGTGAAAATTAGCTCACATCATCAATAAAATCAGTGGAAAAGATTTACTTCATCTAAATAATTATTACTACTTTGTTACCTCTGAATAAAAGTTGACCAAAATTATATAATGTTTGCTTCAATTATCAAAATATCTGCTCCCAACATGTTTGTTTTTATTTAGTTCAATACTGCTTAGTTTCTAAAGAGTGAATGAGTCCCCAGAGGAATGTTTTCCCAGATTTGCAAGCTTTCATTATAGTACAAATAAAATAGATTCTCCGTGCTTAAGTGCAAAGTACATAAGAGTGTTTATTCTTTTTGCAGGGATGTGTAATCATTGAAGATGAAACATTCATAAATATGTATCTGAACATTAAGATCAAACTCTGAAGCAACATCAGTGATTGCCAGCATATATTTTATCATATAAACATTTGTGAACTTGCAGGCAGTTATTTTCAGTGTGGAATATTTAATTTCATCCATTAAAACAAAACTCACCAACAATTTAGCTTATTTCCTTCTTCAGTATCCATGTTACTAGTCAGAATTATTAGATTTCTAAAATTCATATAGGATAATATTTTAGGGG